GCTGGTATATTTTGGAAGCCCACACTAATAAGGTGGAAGAAAAAAGCCAAATCTACGTGCCTTACAACATCCTTCCCCTTGATCCTGATAGTCAAAATCAGGCTATAATGAGTCTTCCTGAGGTCATCCAAATTCCCCCCGATTGTATGTTTAATTGTCTTTTGAGTCAGTAAAATGGACATTTGACTGTTCTGCAGATACAAGCTACAGTAATCGCTCTTCGTAACACTAGGGGCTTACCATGGCCAGCAGGTCACAAGAAGAAACTCGATGAAGACATGCTAGACTGGCTTCAAACCATGTTTGGTTTTCAGGTGAATATACCCTGTCTTTCCGTAGCTGATTGAAATTTTTACCCTGCATGTGCTGATCGTGATTTAAAACCTTTAAATAACAGAAAGATAATGTTTCCAATCAAAGGGAGCACTTGATTTTGTTACTTGCTAATGTCCACATTCGACAGTTTCCAAGACCTGAACAACAACCAAAGGTATGTGCACTTTTGAACTTGGATATGATGTTTTATTGCTTGTCTAGTCCTCTGTCTCTCTCTCTGCACTAACGGCCTAAATTACTATTTCTGCGTTTAGTTGGATGATCGCGCCTTGACTATAGTGATGAAGAAACTTTTAAAAAAATTACAAAAAATGGTGCAAGTTTTTGGGTCGGAAAAGCAGCCTTTGGTGAGGCTCCTCGCCTCACTTTGAGTTAACATTTTTCTTTCTTAAAAATGTAATATATACATTGAATATTATAATTATATATGCATTGTTCTCTTGTTCCCACATGTAGGTTGCCGATTATTCAGCAAGAGGTTCAGCAGCGGAAACTGCTGTACATGGGACTCTATCTTTTAATATGGGGAGAGGCTGCAAACCTGAGATTCATGCCAGAATGCCTCTGCTATATATATATCATCATGTATGTATTCAGTTTCCCCTATATATGTTAAATGATTATGTGGTGCGCATGAAACATTGCATTTTGAAATCGGAGAAGGGTATCATGTTCAATTTTGATCTTGGCTCATACATAGACCTACTAAGCTAGTAGTATAATTCAAAGAATTCCAAATAACATATATAATGATGAGGAAATAAATCAGGGAAGGTGTCCATGGTTGAATACTTGTGAAGAGTGTGTGAAGTGTTCATGTGGTAGGGATAGGAAAAAGATTGGTTATATTGTGATATTTACTAATTAATGCATATTTCTATTTACATTAGGAACCCTTTTTTTTTTTTTGTTCCTACCTGTGTCTAATTCTGAGTTTAATTATATATACAGAGTCTGCGCAGATGGCTTTTGAGTTGTATGAGATGTTAGCTGGGAGTATTAGTCCAATGACGGGGGAGCATGTAAAACCGACATATGGTGGTGAAGATGAAGCTTTCCTGCAGAAAGTAGTGACTCCAATTCTTTCCGACACTGTCTCTCGAATTCTTCCTCCTCAACCAACAACTGGATAATCAGAAACAGGTTCACTATGTTCATTTGCAGCTTCTCTTTGTTTATCATGCACATCACCTAACCCAGCAGCAACTTCGTTACGGATATCATCCATAAATGACTGAAATTGAATATCGTATCCTCCTTTTTTTTATAACATCTTCTCCAACTTCTTCTCCTTCTGCGAT